AGCTTGCCAAATCATGATCCATTAGAAAGAAGCTTGCTGGTAAAATTTTCACAGTACAAATTTTCCAAGGCATAATGTAGAACTTGAATGCTCCACTGTTGTATATATCAGGATTCAGAGCCAATAATACAGGGTGTGTCAAAAGCCGTAAACTTCTTATGTAGCTATCTGCTACTGTTAATCTGACACCTGATCATTTTATATGCTTTTGAGATTCACTGAGTAAACAACTGGGAAAAGCATCCTGTCTCCATTTCCCCCTTCACCTCACTGCTAAACTCCCGCTACGTAACTTCTGCCCGCGGAGCTCTCTGTAACACAGAGGTGACATCTGAGTCTTAGCATACTGGTACTAGTTACGTGAGAGCAGAACTAGTGATACGCACGTGATTCAATTTCTTCCAAAGACAGTGCTAATGACATCACACCCTTTAGTTTATACTAAAGTACCAATGTAATTTAATATTTATAAACGTAACATTCAATATTTATCAATATGTGGAAGTCGAGTAACATTCCACCTATCACACTCTCATATTCAGCTATAAATTCAACCAAACAAAAAGGAAGCCAGTCAAAAGACAGTGTAAAGCATAATTGCCAACAAGGGAAAACCTTTACTTGTGATTCGCATAGCATTCTGATGTTACGTCCCACATGAACTCCTCGTGAACCGCTCAGCCAGAACCGTTCTCGGTCAAAAATTCGGTGATTTGGTCGATTGGGACAAAGACCCAGTGTTGGTTTGTAGCGTTTGGGTTGACAGCCTCAGCTGTCAGTTGTGCCTGGGGCACAGTCTGAGCCTTTTGAAATTTACCTCAGTACTACCCGGCAGAAGATAAGAGAAGACGAAGAATCAACATACACTACCATTATCAAGTGCGATCGCAAGGTTGCAATCAGCAATCCTAAATTGCGTCGTTAATGTTAATATTTTCTCGTCCGACCCATGAGTTTAAATCTCATAGTACTCACATAAATTGAGAGCACGCATTCGGGACCGGTTGGAGAGTCCATGATGCGGCATTCGCACTGTGCACAATCTTTCCATCCTGGTGCAATGGTCAAAGGGATATTATGCTCACAAGCTAGATTACATACTAGATTGACAGCATATCCACCTGTATCGGGATGTTGCTGAATGGTGGACACAACGCGCATCGTGACTGAATAGTTGTTCCCATTACCTGATCCCTCAACCAGCCACTAAGATGGGACAGTCAATTCGGAATTTAAGGGATCTAGTAAAGAAAACCGACCTGCTGGTTTTCAGGAGTTGCCTGTGGATGCGCAGGCCAGCCAATGATAGAATTGCCTTCCGTTGCAACACCATTGGCGTTATCAAAGATACGTTTGTACTGGACATTGTAAATGTAATACGTTCCATTAGGAGGATAAAACTTGGGAGGAATAATCTGAGCTAAAGCTGAGGATGCGGAGAGAATCGCGAGTGAGAAGATACTGAGGAACTTCATGTTGATGTAGCTGAAAGTAGAGACCGCCTGAAGGTGGTGATACTTGCTTCAGTTCACGTCTATTTATGCTTTCAAATATACAAAGAACTGCACGATATACACTCTGTCCGGCACAGCCTTGGACGGTATGACACTCGCTGTGTTATTCGGAGTGATTGACGCTTGAAATTTTCATGAATGCTAGTGCGTCCGCGATGCCACGGGATCCATTCCTTATCTCAATGAAAGTCCCAGAATGAAGCCATATCACAATCCAGAAGTAGCAGTTACACTAGACGTCTCTAGTGAGCGTCAGATTTAAAAGTCGTGGGCTTTGACGAAACAACTCAGTGGGAAGCACGAAGACATCACACGTGTGGGACTCTTATTTTGCATCCGAGAATGAGCTGCTCTTCTGGCGACCCAGTCAGCACTAGTAACGAGCAATATTGATGACAGCACGACACTAGAAGTCATTGTCTGGCCTCTGGTGCGCGCATAACGATAGCATTGAAATATTCCGTAATGATTCATTAGACTTTAGCGTCAATCGGACGTGCTTGACTAGTGCAAATTCTTGAGCTCTAAAGACTCGAAGTGCAAGGATCCTACGGGATCAGGTGTCTAGTAGCTGATTTTTTTATGTAAGTGGAAATATGACATGTATATTGCCAATTGCACGACCAATTTGTTCTGATACATGTGACATATTGTACCAACAGGCGAATTGGGCAGACAAGGTCGATGACAAGCAAAGTCGAGAGCGACGCGTCCACCAAATTTAGAAACGTCGATTCTATCAGACGTGCAGGACTCGACGTGCCGATCCGCGCGTGATTCGATCCCGCCCTAACTTTTCTAGAACCCATCTTGAAAGGACATCGTCTCGAAGACTCTAAATGAAATTTACCACCTAAAGATTCCACTAATAAAGGACGGTATTTAACGCAGTAGGTCTCACGTAATGACTTCAATATTATCATTGATACTGCGTGCAGGTGTCCCTCCCTCAACGAGTATGTGCGACTTTATTGGGTATTTAGACACTCGTTTAAAGGAAGGTCAAGTTATCCCGAGTAATGATTGCGCATTACACTACATTCATAATACTGCAGCTCGGTCGAACATCGCATCACAGACGCGAGGAATGGTACTATGCTTTGCCCACCGGCTTGTCCCAAGTCCCTTATTCAAGCGGATCCATTCTCCGACAAAAAATCATTAATTTGATCGATAGGGACGAAAACCCAGTGTTGGCTTGTAGCATTCTGGTTTATATCAGCAACTGTCAATTGGTCCTTTTGTTCAATTTATCAGTACATTTACTGCCGGAGATAGGAGGGGAGAAGATCCGGTCAGCTTACTCCGCTTCCGTCCAGTGTTATTGCCGTATTATTTTCAACAAACCTGAATTATAATAAATATAATGTCAAAAGGATTATTAACCAAATAGTCAACCTTGGAATACTCACATGAATTGAGAACATGCATTCGGGGCTGCTTGCAGGGTCCAAGCTTCTGCGGTCTTGCTATGCACGATCTTTCCATTCTAAAACAATGGTTATGAGATGTTAAATTCAGGACAACTACCATCCTTACGACATTGGTGGCATATCCGCCGGCAGAGGGGTTTTGCCGAGCAGTCAATACTACACGCATTGTGACCTGATGGTTACTCGTGTTGCCCACTGCCTCCACTATCCACTAGAGATGAACAATCAGCAGAGTGTTTGCTGATACAAGTAAAGAAAGCAGACCTGCTGATTTTGGGGATTCTGCTGTGGGTGTGCAGGGTAACCGAGAATGGGATTGCCTTCTGCAATGACAGACCCATCATTATCAAAAACGGCTTTGAATTGTGCGTTGTAAATGAAGTATGTCCCATCAGAGGGATAGTATACCGGAGGGATAATATCAGCCAGTGTTGAGGAGACAGAGAGGATCGCAAGAGATAGAAGACTAAGGAACTTCATAATACCTGAGATGAGCTACAGTGATCTGAAGGAGAGAATGTTGGCTGGGGTCAAATACTATTTGTACTGCTGAAAGCGCTCTAATCCTAGGATTCTTCAAACGATCCCAATTAAAGTTTAGCAGATCTTTACAACGTTATTCGGAGCGCCGAATCAAAAAAATTCCTCTTGAAATTCCAATCGTTCGGTTCTGGAAGACAACTAAAATTCTGAGCGCCTTTTTCTACTTACGTCAATAGGTGGCACGTCATGCTTGACAGCTCATGATACTGTTAGGGAGAAGTACACTGGGTAGGTTTCGCGCTACGCAAAGCTTCCAGGCTTCAATGCGGGACTTGATGAGCAATAGCGGCTCAAGCCCAAGTGTGACTAGGCCTGCTAGGAGTATCATCTTCCGACTTTCCTCAGATAGAAGATACTGTGTAACAAATGTAAAAAAACGAAGTACACTTCTATTCTCAGGATAGAAAAAAATTTCATACACATAGGCTGGTAGTAACACTGGATTCACGACGTAAGCGAATCAATAGTTTAAGTCATGCAGCAGGCTTGAAACATTCCTGCCAATGCTGATCATATGCAGCATTTCTGATACCCAACATTGTAGAAAATTCACAGCTTAGAACGGCCGTGTTCAGAGGCCGCCACAGCGTTGGGCGAATGTCAGGAGGAAGCCACAGGAGCAGTTCACCTCGTGATCCAAGTACCCATCCATTATCAGCTAAAGTCCAGGTGGCGAAGCTCTCGTTGGCACCTTCTGTGGAGAAGGATGAGGCGACCGCAGCGTCTGACAGTGCTCCTTCGATCGGCGAGGAAATGGTGCCTCCCTTGTCTGGTACTACCCAAATTCGAATTGTTCCATCGAACGAGCAGGAAACGATACGAGAACTGTCCGGTGAGAAGGCAACGCCGGTAATGCTACTAGAGTGTCCTTCGTATGGCCTAGAAATAACATTCCCATTGCTTGCGTCCCGAATTATGAGTGTCCGATCGTACGACCCGGAAACAACGTATCTCCCGTCGGGTGAAAATGCAATAGACATTACAGTATTAACATGCCCCTTCAAGGGTCCACAGACAATCTGTCCACTCCGCACGTCTCGAAGGACAACTTCATTATCCAAACTGCGTGAAGCAATACGACTTCCATCAGGAGTAAAGGCAACGGGAGCGAAATAACGATCAGTGCTGTCTTGAGGCGCCTTGAGCGGTCCAGAGACAATTTCCCCACTTTCGGCGTTCCAGAGAATAACGTCGTTGTCGACAGATGCCGATGCTATAAGAGTGCCATTTGGTGAGAAGGCAACAGTGCGGATATTGGTTTTGTGGACTTGTTCGGATTGAATAGTCAAGTGTCCATTGTCGGCGTCCCAAATAATAATGGTTCTGTCAAATGAACCTGAGACAATACGTACGCCATCAGGAGAGTAGGCGACTGAAATAACCGTATCCGTGTGCCCTTTGAGTGGCTTAAATGCCATCTCACCTCTCTCTACATCCCAGACAATAACAGTCCTGTCAGCCGAACCAGAGACAAGTCGTTGACTGTCAGGTGAAAACGCTACGGAATTGACATCATGTGTATGTCCCTCAAACGGTGTAGTAGCTTGTTCTCCAGTACTGACGTCCCAGAGTCGAATAGTTTTATCTCGAGAGCCTGACGCTATGTACCTACCATTCGGGGAGAAAATGACAGAAAAGACGACGCCTGTGTGTCTGGTAGAAGAGTCAACGCCAATTTTGCCAATCGACGCGTTCCAAACTCTGACAGTATGATCCAATGATCCTGAGATAAAGCGCAATCCATCAGGGGTAAATGCAACAGAGCGAACACTGTCTCCGTGACCAGCAAAGGGGCCGGAAACAACTTCACCGTCGTCCATGTCCCAGACAACAATTGAGTCATCTGCACAGCCTGACAGGATACGCTTCCCATCAGGCGAAAATGCAATAGACATGACACTACCTGAATGATAAAGCGGGTCTCCGACGGCACCCTTGCTCTCCATGTCCCAAATTCTCAACGAACGATCATTAGAGCCAGAAACGATATGCCTAGCGTCGGGCGAGATTGCCACAGTGTAGATTTTGTCGGTATGTCCTACAAAAGGCTCGCTAATAGTTTGCCCTGTTTCCGTGTCCCAGACTCGAAGTGTCATATCCCATGAACCCGAAACGATTCGTTTCCCATCAGGCGAGAACACGACAGAACGGACGACTTTCGTATGTCCTTTGAGTACTTTGACTGTAGGCCTGTTCTCAATGCCCCAGACTCTAATAGTTGTGTCTTGTGAGCCCGAAGCAACTTGTGTTCCCGTAGGTGAAAATGCAACGGCCCATACACCACCAGTATGGCCTTCAAACGGCCCAGAGACCACCTTGCCCAACTCGATGTCCCAAACGCTGACTGTTGCGTCCAAGCATCCGGAAACAATGCAACGGCCATCTGTCGAGAATGCGACACCAGTAACGGCGGCTCGATTCTCCTTGAAAAGATGGTATGCTGTCTCACCACTCTCAATATCCCAGATTCTGACTGTCCCGTCGTTGGATCCCGAAACGACATGCTTCCCGTCAGGTGAGACAGCAACAGACCAAACAATGTCCGAATGCCCCTCCAATACTTTCAACCACAGCGGTGGCCGTTTTGTACCTATTCGATGCACCTCTACCATCCGAGATGTCTGCTTTGAATAATGGGCGGCGACCTGCGATTCTCCCTTCATGAGCGGGAGCATGGAGACGTATATATGCGGGGTGCATTCGGTCATGGACATGGAAAATGTGGAAGTGAGTCTGCTAGCATCCTTTAGAAATGAAGAAATGCCTGAATTATGTATCTAGAAACGGTTTAGAATGCGTACAAATTTTGATGCTGATCGTACCCACCTCCGACCACAAAGCGGCATCTAGGAGTGCTCGACTCGCGATTCTACCAGCTTGACCTAGCAAGCCAACCGCCTCGAACCAGTACAGCAGCCGCTTTTGAGCGAACTCCGTTAGTTCATCTGATAATTTACAAGAGTATTGTGACTCGGTAAGGTGCAGAGCCCAGAATTTGCATGCGTATTGCAAATGCAGAGGAATCTTGTCAATGACACGTCCCTTGAACCCAACGACATCCTTATTGTACGTGAAGGACGATTCAAGATTGCACATGTTAAAATGAAGCATGTCCTTCATGACAATAAAGCATCGCGTGGCGATGTGCGTTTGCTGGGACAATTTATCGATAAACCACGGACCGGATAGACACTCAGAGGGTGTCTGATGAATACAGCAAGATTTGGGGCACGGGGTCGACAAGAGATAGTCTGCGAACGATGTATGGAAGAGATGAACAGGTTGTCCAGGGATGAATGCGATTACACTCCGCAACTTCGAAAGGATTAAGCGTGATGAATTAGTAGGTGATAACCTTAGGATTGCATCGATTGTGATGTCTGACAATGGTGTATTGCTCAATAGGATGAGACCAAGGATTTGAGAGAAACGGGTAATAGATGAAGGGTAGTGATCCGAAATGACTCCAGAGCTCCTAAGGACGGACTCGTACAGCTGTTCTAGACCACTTAGCAGATGCGACTTCCCAACAATACCCTCAAGTCCTTCGAATGGGCTAGGGTTATCCTTAATTAGCTTAATTGCTGTCGACGCCCAAATGAATAGACCCTGTGAACCGTCTGCCAGTCGCTTCCTATACATACTCCAGGCATCCGGCATCTCGAGCCCTGCATCCTCGAAAATGATGCTTATCTCGTGATCAATATAGCGCAGAACATCTCGTTGACTGTTTTCAGAACCCGAGTCTAAAGCAAGTTCGTGTACAGAATTATTTGCATTTGGTGATAATGCTCCATTGATGTCAGCCTCGGGTCTGCTTGTAATGAGGAATCGGAAATTAGGAGGCAGCTTCCCAAACTCCCGTCTGAGGAGCAACATCAAGTGCCGTCGAGCCTCGGGCGTACCACATTCGTCCAAGGCATCGAGGACAATCACAACCGGGCCTCGTATCTCGTCTCGTGCTGCAGTGAGCGGCTCCAAAAGAAGCCTCTTGAACTGCACTCCAGCAACAGCCTCAGTGATATGATCATTCTTCTTGACAGCGGCTTTGACGCGTGTTGCAATACACGAATCAAACTTCACCAGCCGGAATGCAATTGTTCGGAATAATGAAACAAGTTGGCCTTCGGTTCCGTCGGCTCGCCTGAAGAAAATGAAGGCGCCAAGCCGTGATATATCTCGGCAATATTCTGCAACGGTTGTAGCAATAGTGCTTTTGCCAGATCCGGCAACGCCGTGAAGCCACAAGATGTTCTGAGAAGTGTCCGATAATAGCCAATCCATAATTTCATTCAGCACTTCGACCCGAGTATCCTCAAGACATGTATTGCGATTGAATGCATTCATGTCAAATGGGTCGAGCAATTCTCGGAAGTCTAGTTAAGACATGCTTTAGTATAGGTAGTCAGTAAGATGAGACAGATCATACAAATATCCTCGACGTCGTCGGAAATCCGTGCGGATACGAATGCAGTATGTAATCCAACATTCGCGTCCAAAGCTCTCGTGAGGTCGACAAAGCGCTCAGTGAGCTCGTCAACCTTCGATCTGCTCATTTGGAGCATTCTCGCTGTTCTCGAACGTTGGCTGCCTATTGCCACGAGCACTCGAGGGAATCACTCACTAGGAAAGTTTCGGCTGGTATAGTGCATTATAAAGTGACAACATTCTATCGTCTGCTGCAACAGTTTCTCAAGAGTATCCTTTAATCTCTTAGTCTTATCGGGCAATGACCCGGCGTCTGTAACGAAGTCGAATGCACCTTCCATAACGTGAACGAGTTCGACGAGCTTCTGGTCGGTCTCGATTTGATGTACGACGGCCTAGGTAACGCTCTGTTAGATTCGCCGCTGTACATGGATAAAACTTGAAGATACCTTGTGCAATGATGATGCCAGTTGCCAAGCCGCGCTTAAATATGGATGAAGCTGATAACGATAAGAGAGGCCGAAAATCATAGCAACTTAGGAACGTACGTTGGATAACTGATCAATGACTTTGAAAAGTATACCTATCTTTTGAACGAGAGTTAATACAGACTTCCCCAGACTACTATTCTCATTCAAAAGTGATAGTCCATTAGTGCGTTCCAATCCACGTGCAGCCTGAATTGCTTTATCGACATCGGGTTCGAGAACCGCATGTGAGTTAGATTCGCTCAGCAGTCGAACAACCAGAGACGGTTTTCCGTAATCCTTCCCTGGAGGCGCTTCTAAGGACAGATATGCTGAAATTGTTTCATGATAGGTTACTGGTGAGCGAAAGATTAAGGATCAACGTACTCGGACCATTGGTGGATCTGATAAATAGGTCGCCGAGTTTAACATCGATTGAACCAATACAAAGATCGGCTCGAAATGGGATCGCTGATCGATGCAAAACTTTGATTGAAAGAGCTTCAGATGTATCTGCCGTCGGACTGGGTTGCTCAAATGACTTTCGGGTGAAAACTGTGTAAAGTGGCACACGTACATTGATAAGGTCTCGTTCCAAGAGTATGGTTCGCTGTTGATTGCGCACGTTTTCCTGCTGACGGTGCCACCAAGACACACTTGCACATAGAGATTTGGCCCTTTGCTGTGCAGTGAGCGATCCCACTGTACATTATCGACACGGATCACTGAAGAAGCATATCGAAGTCAAGTTAGTCTCCGTTAGGTCGTCTAGAGTTGAGTTGACAGACCCCGTAGGTTGTGCATAGTGCATGTGGTGGCATCAGGTTAGAAGAGGTGGGCAGCAGATCCGAAGAACCGTTCAGCAAGGTGCCTATCGTCGTACCGTTTTAGGTGCTGCAATGCCGCAGCTCGTTGTATATTATAAGAATTTGGATGAGTAAAATGATTGATTGATTGAAATCGCGCCAAGGCGAACTTCGGGTCATGTGATCTCCTTTGACCTCATCTGAAGCTGCTGAACAATTGCGATTATTTTGCGTCCAAGTTACAAATTTCGAAGACCTGAGAGAGACAACCTGCACACCTGTACAGTGTACTGATCTACGACACTTCTTCACTCCCACCATGACCTGGCCTAGAACAGAGACACTAAACTGCCAAGCGAGTGTACACCGCTTTGAAATGAACGCACCCCAGTACACACGCCTTTTTAACATGCAATGTCAGCTTTCAGGGGCTTCAACTGTGGACAGCCTCCATTCGCTGTGGATCCGATGCGGTGGGCACAGTGAAAGGCTATAGATCGAAATTGTCTGGGAATTCTGAAGGTGTCTTTGATTGATCTGATGATCCAGTGTGTATAACACTGTACCTAATTGTGATGCTTCAGCAGAATGAGACATGACTAGTTAACACCTCCAACATCCAAAGGTCTTTGGTCACAGCTTCTAGAGGATAGAGACATATAACCCGAAGTTCGCAACGGTACAGGACATCATTCAGTCGCCAATTTGTCCAATTAGTTGAATGTACGGGAATCAACACTCACTATCAGTCTTCTCTGTTGCGGGTAGAACATTCATGCTCTGTCTCATTACATCCTTGACTTTGACCTCCGTCGTCTCTACTCGGGGTGTTTACCACCGTGATGATACAGCATTTGACTGGAATGCGGTATGTTGGAATTGACTCCTAGAATGAACCTGACTAAAACTGCTGGCAGCTTACACCCTCGACGTCTTTGAAATGGGTGCATTGCTACGATAATTACTACTGTAGCAGACTCTCTGTGAGCTTACTATTATGAAAATATAGGGCTGGTTGCTAATTTTTAAAGGTGCCTTTACGCTACTCCGATCTTTCTGGGAAACAAGCAGCTGTGGCATTGATTATGCTGCCATCTAGCTTGTCGCCAAACGACAAGGATTACAAGGGGCCTGTCCTTTTCAACCCTGGTTTGTAATTAAACGTTTCAGATAAGATTTCTGCTTATTTTGTTTGACTTAGGCGGCCCCGGAGGCTCTGGTGTCGACTTCGTCCTCGGAAAAGGAGCCGATATTAGTGAAGGTGTTATTGGCAGGCAATTTGACCTCATAGGATTCGATCCACGAGGTAGCTTTTCTTTTGACTCTTCATGTTGATGCAGTTTAACATGTTTCGTATTCAGGTGTTGGAAACACGACTCCGCCTATATCCTTTTTTGAAGACTCCGTCGAAGCTGGGATGTTTGACGTTCAGCAGGTCCGAGATTATAATGAGAGCGAAACTTCAATCGGTCGGGCTTATGTACAGATAATGAATCTTAACAAGCTAGTGCTTGGGCGCGCCGAGAAAAAATACGTGGCAGAAACGGTGACTACTTCCACCGTTGCACGAGATATGCTCAGCATTATGAAGGCCACTGGGCAAGAAAAGCTCCAATATCTCGGATACTCGTATGTTCTTATCGCCTTCTTAGTAACATATACCATCTCAAAGATTGCAGGTACGGAACGGTTCTTGGAGCAACGTGAGTTCCTTATTATGAATATGCTTTTGCATAATTGACATTCTCGCTGCGTGATTTAGTTTTGCAGCAATGTTCCCAGTAAGTCGTTATAGCTTTCTGATTGCTGCTCTTTGCCTGATATCTTGCTAGGAAAAGGTTGGACGCATTGTCTTGGACGGTGTTGTTGATTCGTGGGGTTACTACAAAGGTATATTCGGTGGTTTCAGCAAGGGTATCCCGAATGCATTTGACAGGTTGTTTCCAGGGAATGACACGAGCCAGCTTCTCGACGCAGACAAGTGTTTCACCAGCATTCTTGACGCTTGTGTGCAGGCAGGTCCCAAGTTGTGTCCGCTCTACGAAAAGAATACCGATCTCATCCGCGCTCGTGTCAATCGCATTCTGGACAAATTGAGAATTGAACCCGTATCCGTCTTTAGCGGAACCACATCGGACTCGGGAATTGTTGATTCTGCGACTGTCCGAAGGCGGATCTTTCATGCCCTTTACTCACCATACAATGAAGGCGCAGGTCTAGTGGCTGCTCTTGCTGCTCTTGAGCAAGGTAATGGAAGTGCCATCTACCAGGGATCGCTTCAAGACTCAAATCAGAAATTATCGGAAGGAAAAGAACCTCCACAGACTAAGGGGACATATGTGTCCGGGTCGGAAGCAATTCAGGCGATTTCATGCGGTGACATTGTTACGGATGATCCAGGGACTGTTGATGATCTGAGGGAGGCTTACCGTGAAGCAAAAGCAATTTCACCGCTTTTCGCCGGGGTTGCTGCTGACCCATGCCCGTAAGTCATACGTCCACTTGCTTGTGTTATTCCTGCAGTAAGACATAGCTAATGTGGCATCAGCGGCTGGTCAATCCGAGGAGATGATCGCTTCAAAGGTGAGTCGATTCAAGCTTCCGAAAGAACTGCGTATTGAGATATAGGATACCATCAGGATCTTTTAATCAGAATACCAGCCATCCTATATTGTTCGTTGGAAACATTGCCGGTGAGTTTATATTTAACTATACCAACTATCAGTTTCATTGACCATGTACTCTGGCCGTTAGATCCAATCACACCCTTGGCAAGGTCAGCGCACATTGCTTCCTTTGTGATTTTAACGTTACTTACCAGTGTTTCTACAGTGCATTTTTAATGTCAGAAGGCTTCAAAGGCTCTGTAGTGCTCACGCAAAACTCGTCTGGAGTAAGTTACCACGTAACTTTATAGTCAGCCTTTGTTCTCATTTCCCCTAAGCACACATCCGGGGCTGCAAACTCGACCTGTACCGGTAAGATTTTGCGGGCATATTTCGCAGACGGAACACTGCCCGAGGAAGGAACGGTGTGCCAGATTGAGAGCACCATTTTCGCAGAGTCCTATTCATGATAGGTTTGGGATGTAATCTTCGCCGATACGTTATTGGAAGCGGCTTTCGAACAAGTTGCATCCGAAGCTGTGTAGTAGTGGCACGGTCAAAGTATAGACCCTTGCGATAAACACGACGTAGCACTTATACTACTTTATTCACGGATTCTTGGTTGTTTCCAGCATAGACTTTTCAATTTCAGGTACTTTATTCGTATTATAGTTGTGTGGAAACTACCACTCCACTATATTCAATACTCGCTTGGAACCTATAACCAACATTAATGCACTCCACCGCACCTCTAGCTACTGTGACGTGATTTGCAGACCACTATCTTGCTACCACACTGATTGCTTGCTGATTCAAAATATGAAATTAATGCACCACACCCAGATTATCTTCTAATGAATCCACCTCAGGAACTAAGTATAAATTTTAAGTTAAAGAAACGCAAAATGTAGTCGTGCGAACTTACTGCCGAAGTTGATCAAGCGCAATTACTTGCACGTGCACCACAGGGAGCAACAAGAACTCTTGCTCTCTCCTTTTGCCTTATTCCAACCTTGGTGAAGGCCCTCGATTTCGGTCTGACTTTGAGCTACGAAAATATATTCTTCGGAGGAAGGGTCTCTCTTATAAACCTCGCTGTAGGCTATCTGGGAACTGGAGTGGATCGCCACTGGCTCGTGTATAGACTTAATTGATCGCGTATCTTGAATCAACTGGAAAGTCTTGGAGCTCCTCATACTTCAATACGCGACATACAGAAGATACTTTAATTTGACGTGGAGATCATCTAAAGATGGCGGGTGATAGAGACACACTCTTGAGCATGGGATTCGAAGCCGCGCGTATCGATTGGGCTTTACGCGCCACGAGCAATGCTGGCCTCCAACCAGCGCTCGATTTTCTATTCGCACATACGGACGATCCAGTCCCAGACTCTACAGATCAGGGTGGCTCATCAGCTAATGTGGCTGGATCAGGGACGGCTCCAAACAACGACGAGGAAGATGACGAAGACGCCGAAGCATTACGTGCTGCCCTTGGCAAGAGTGTTGCAAATGTAGTCCCTGGTGGAGAACAAGGCGGAGCTGCTCCTGAAGAGGCGAAGAGCATCAAGTGTTCGGAATGTGGAAAGGTCTTCAAGAATGCTGCGATGGCAAACTTCCATGCCGAAAAGAGTGGGCATGACCAATTCGAAGAGTCGACGGAAGAGGTATGCATCGCTCTCAATCACCTGTTCGCGTTATTACAGATAGCCACAAACCTCCTTGTTTATTGCAGATCAAACCCCTCACCGAAGAAGAAAAAGCGCAAAAGCTTGCTGATTTGCGGGCTAAGCTAGCAGAGAAACGTGCTCAGAAGTCCACCGTTGATGCCGAGGAAGCGCGCGCCAATGCCGCTATTAGGAAGAAGGCCGATAGAGAAGCAAGCGAAGCTCGCGAGCAGCTGGAGGCAAAGGAGGCTCTTAAAGCTGCTGAACGCGTGAGTTTTTCTTGTAGACTCCGTCGGACACAATTTATCTATTTGTCATGTTGTAGGCAAAACGAGAGAAAGCAGAAGACAAGAGAATACGAGAAGAACTCAGACAGAAGATTGAACAAGACAAAAAAGAGCGTCGTGAACGCGCAGAGATGGAGAAGCTCCGTAGAGAGGGCGTGAGCGTACCTGCAGCTGGTAAGCGCTAGGATTCGATCATCACAGGAAATTACACAGTCTAATTCAAGACTTATCAGCATCCATACAACCGGCACCCGCTGCTCCTGCAAGTGTGGCGCCGGGAACTGCTGCAGGCGAATACAAGGAAGCTCGTCTACAAATTCGCGTGCAAGGCGTACCTGCACCGCTTAAAACCACACTGTCGAGTGATTCCGGTTCGTGCATACCTCTACTTTCGAATTATTCACCCTTACCGGTCTGATTTTGTTTGAAATACGCCTTCTAGCTCTTCGCGAGGTGGCAGAATTTGTTGCCGGCCAAACACTTAGCGTCAACGCCGACACCGTAATATTCAAGATGCATTACCCGAAGTACGTTTTTTCATCTAGGCCCTTTTATTAACGACTGAATGCGATTGACCGTCTTGCATCCCTTGGATCACCCTGTACATGCGTGCGATCCTGTTATCGTATATGTCTGCCCTTGTATTTTGTCGGCGTGGCATTCTGATGTAAACAGCAAAACTTTCACCCCGGCTGATTATGGAAAGACTCTGAAGGAGCTTGGGTTGACGCCTTCCGCGGTAAGTTTCATCTATCACGAAAATTGATTTGTTCCATCAGCACCGTCCTTGCTTCACGTTCTCCTTGCTCATGGCCTCGATCGGGTTTCGATCTCAATTTCGGTGTACGGTGGGATGTGTTCAGCAGCCGCGTCCACCAGTTGTGTGCATGATGTGCCCTTCAGCTGACCAAAGGCACACCCTGCAGCAGGCTAAAGAGCACTACATTATTCTTGGCGCAATTGCTTGCTTCCCTACCCTACCTACCTTGTTCTTTTACTCTTGAACTGAAGTTCTATTTTCAGACACTTATGGCGTCCAACTCCGATCCTTAGCCTGTTGTTCAGATCTTGGGAATGAATTAGGGGATGTAAAGTACTCTACGGATGTGAATGAGAAACGTGTTGGGTTCCGGATGATTGTGAGTTGCATAGTGATCAAGAAAGATGTGTATGATACAGTTGTGGTATCGAATATATTCCGCTTTGTTATGCTTTGATAGATTAGTTCAATAGTTGGCATATGCATACGCCGATGTATTCCTGTCAGACGACCTTACATGCGCCCGGTTCGACGAAATGTGTCCGTCCTGAAATGGGAATGGTACTGACTATCTAGTTTGCCTTCTCACTCGTGTCTCATCCTTTCTTGGCCCCCCGATGCGCTCGTGAACAACAAGCACTACGTATTGCCTATCACTTCATCCCCTCAAATACTAGTCCTTCATTACAATCAAGACACCGAGTAGAGATCGCCCTTTGGCCAATACAATACGCTGCACGAGACATAAATGAGGTACACATCTTTATTAACTCTCCAACCTATCGATCTCACTCAAGGAACCGAGGGAGGCGATACACAGATACCGGATACATATACCTACACGAGTCTACTCCCTCGGAATCGATTTACCTTCTATAGGATATGAGAATTTAAGAATGTATAAGCATGATGTACAGATGATGTGTAGATTGTGGAAGAAAGGAAGTCCTTGTACTTGTATTTTACCGTTTTACCGCATTTCGTTCGTTTGCCCTGCCGCGAGGCAAGGCGAGTGAAAGCAGGATAGAGACTTTGGCGCTCTCCCCTGAATTGCCACTTGCGACGAATGGACAAATGGAGCAATACCATCCAGTACATTATCAAATACTGTAGTATTGATAAATTCATTTTGAGTTCAGTTTAATCGACAAAGACAATTTACCCGTACGATTAAATTTTTCGTTTGTTTGTCGAGATCAGGCACGACGGAACTCTCGACCCTCTTTGTTCTGGGATAGTAAGATTCGAAATTCGCTTCTGACAAATAACGTATAAAGAAAGAAAATAACATAGGAAATAATTTCTCGGATCTTGAAGTAGGCCAATTCAGGCGTTTCAAGGTGTGGCTCGAGTGCAGCAGAGGTTATTTAGAGCGCCAGCAAAGAAGCCTACTAGAACTCGTCATGTTGATGGAATAATGACGGTAGGACAGCAAAGCATCTCGATACCCGTCGCGTTGTGAAACCGTAAAGTATAACATCGAAGAAAGAAAGAAAGAACATAACATACAGTAAAAAAGTTGTCGGATCTTGACAATCAGCGAGGCGTCTCCGTCGGGAAGGCTAACTCAGGCGTTTCAGGGTGCTTCAAGCACAGCAGATGATACCCACAGCGCCAGTGAAGAAGTCACTCATAATTAGAATCCACCAACACAGAGAAGTCTGATTGAGAAATGCGGTGGATGCACAGCGTTAAGACAGCGAAGCACCTGGAGACCTGACGATCGTAACTTATAAAAAACTTGTAAAGAGGGTGCCAGTAAGGAGCACCCGCAGTATGTTTCGCCGAGGAAAGGTCCAAAATTTTTGCAGAATTGCAAGGGGAAAGAGTCCTTCTGTGATGACCACCAATCCGGGGCTGGTATCGGAAGTATTGAGAGTCAGAGAGGAGAAAGCGCGAAAGAGAGCCAGCATACTAGAATATCACTAATCAGAATATTACCTTCGAGTCATCAAATCCATTGCTCCTTCGAAATGAAGCCAGAACAGGAAAAGATTTCCCGACCAGCGCCTCAAACCGAGACGAAGGAACGAAAAAAAAAGCCCTTGTTGTTCGAAGTCCGAATCATCTATAAATAGTAAACACATCACATACTGTAGATGAAATATTGGTATAGAACTTTCGAAGCGCCGACGGCGGCGTGACTGCGGTCGCGGCTCTCCGCAAAGCGCCAGCATTAGAAATTCAGAACCAGTATCAAGAACCGTTTCAGTCATTTGAGATGCAGACGCTAGCGTTAGAATCCTGCGACACCTGTTGTCTCGTTTAAATTAAATAATGGAAACAATACTTAGATAGCTTGGGAAGAGTATATCAAAGCGGAAAGAGGGCGGGCAGCAGTTCATATTCCACTGTAATAACTGACAGTAAATAAATCGAAGAAGCAAACACAAGCACTCCAACATCCAAACCTCTTGTCCTTTCAATTAATAGAATAACCAAAAAAACAACGCTTAGCTTAGGGAGAAGACACAACAACTTCAAATCGGAAACAGGTCGGCCGGCAGTTGCTCCTGTCGCAGTGTGGTTGCATACATAGTACAGTACTTTGATGATCTGCGGGGCCAGAGCGCACGCGCCCAGTTACGGGAAGATCCCAAATATTAACGCTTCAGACAATGGGATGGCGAACGGAGGATAGCGCTGACAATGACAATGACGATCACAATACCACTGACACGGATGATCGATAAGTGCTAGGGAGACGACAAGAAGAAGAAGATCGAGTAAACAAGGAAGGAAGTAAGAAGAGAGGACATCAGAAGCATCATCAAGTCAAGGTGAGGAGGGATCAAGAGGCCGAGCTTTGCTTCCTTCCTTCCCCAAGAATAAGGAAGATCCGATTCCGCTCGTTGGCTCGAAACAACAACCAACAAAACAGCCACTGCACATTGTAGTAATTCTTCACACACTCCGAAGTTTCGAGTCAGAATGAGATCAATGGATGCATGTTAGAGAGTTGGAAGAAGTAACAAGCATAGCAGTAGAGGGTAATTGTGCAGTGCTTGATCAGGCAAGACGACAAAAAGGACAAACGTGAGCTTCCATCTCAGGACGAAGCCACGCGTCTCAAAGATCAAGAGCACGGAAGTGCAGACAGGCAGGCACAAGTCGTAGATGATTGAAATAGGAACACAGAGGGGACGAGGCGCCGGGTGAATGACCCTCGACGCAGTGCACGCGAGGCGTGGAGAAGATGGAGAAGGAAGAAATAAGGCAGGGCTTGTATTTTTGCAGTGGAGGGGCAGCGTGAGAGAGGAAGGCCGAGTATAAAGCACATCGCGACAAGCCACGCCGGTTATTGTGCTCCCTCGAAGGTCACTACTTTTTGTTCTTTCGAGGTAAAAGGACGGCACGGCAATGCAGGGACGCCCCAGCTAGTCTCACCTTCATCTCCATCTTCCTTGCTTTGCACATAATCCTCAACTTTCTGTAGCTAAAGTCTACATTCCAACTCAATCTCATCCTCCAAAAATTCCAAACGCCTTCTCCTTCGCTCCGTATGTCCCGTTCCATTTCATTCCCCATTGTCTTGTTCCATAATTGTTGACACCAAACATGTCTAGTGTACTACATTAGCTTCACGCATTCACGACCAGTAAATGTCCAGCACCGTCGACTACTTTAACGCCAAACCGTCTGCTCCTGCTGAAGCCGTCAACACTCGACACCGCTCTGCATCTGTTTCTGCACACCACGCTACTCCTGAGCTCGATAATTCGAATTCGCATTCAAACGTACACGTTTCTGTCAGCGTCTCGCTGTCTGAGTCGCTCGCATCCATTTCTGCTTGGGCTTCTCAGATCGTGCCAGGCTCTCCGCCGTCCGCACCTTCTCCACGTCGATCCTCGTTTTGCAACGTTTCACCCAAGACTTCCCGTCGCAGCACTATCAGCGCGACGTTCTTGAACTTCTGGGACTCTCCTTCCCCGCAGCCACAGACTCCCGCCCCGAAGCCCGTCTCTCCTGCCGATCTCTTAGCACACGGCTATACAAGCATCTTCGTCCATCTCCCTTCTCTCCGTCGGGGCTCTGATTACTCCGACTCTCCACCAGACTCGCCGACTCCGGTTCGTAAGACTGAGAACGCTCCACTACCGTTGCCTAGGCCGCAGCCTCGCCCACGTACAAAATCGCTAACTGCCGAGAATAAAAAAGAGAAGCCAGGCACTGCAACTCGTCTCCGCTCTCTTTCATTCAAAGCGAAGAAATCCAAGCCTTCAGAGGTGATGCCAGGATTTAACGTACCACCCATGCCTGCTCTCCCTACCTACAAATCTTCAGGTCGCCCAACCTCACCGCGCTCAAAGAAACCCAAGTCAACGCCGCAGTCACGTTACGGAGCCATTCTCGGGCCCGGAAATGGCACCGGAGCATTGCCATTGGCTCAAGAAGTCGCATTGGCCCAGATGCTCGATGGTGGAAGTCTTGATGCGAATGTGAAAAGAGTAACAGAGCGTCATGCGCGGGCCACCGGTGCTCACAGCAAAACATCGGTACGTGATGAGGTCTACAAGGGTGATAGGAAGGACAGGAGGCCGATCGAGAAGCGTGATGCACTGGAACGAGAGGGAAAGGTAGGCGGTGGTGTCACTGGGATCTACCGCGACCAGAACGGTGGGCTATGGTGGGACGAAGATGAGTCGCTTGAGCTTACAGGCCTACTGCCGTCATCGGACGTGCAAACGCAAACTCACCATGGACAAATGCCACTCGGCAACTCAAGTGTACACAACCAGGAGAAGGAGAAGCGCAGAGGACTCCTTCCACGTCTCATGACTTCGGCCAAACCACCTCCCACCACATCTCTCCCTGCACCTCCTAGCTGGGTACCGTTGCACTCCCCGTCAGCAGCTAAGCCGGGAAGGAAAGGAAGTGCTTCCGATGCGAGCACGGACGGTGAAGATCTAGATTTGGATCCAGCATACGCTGTACGGCCGCGCGACTCTTCCACACTCTTCCCGGCAGGCTACTCGATGAGCGCAGAGAGGGAACGACATCTCCGAAGAGCGCCGCGCGGTATTGAAGCATTTGGCGTCTCTCCCCTTGACTCGAGTTCGTCCTCGTCTCACAGTGGTCCTCGGGAGAGACGGGAGAGGAAACGACCAGCTCCCCTCACTCTGCCCTTGCCGCTCCCTACTCCTCATGCACCGGCGACTGCTTCCACAGCAACGGCGAGGACAAGTTCACGTCCAAATACAGCACAGGCACCGCCGCCGCTTCCGACATCGGGCGTCCTCATTGGAGGACCGACTCGCGAGGAGAGAGAAGGACGACAGGAGTTCTTCGCTTCCACGTTCGCACCCGCTCCATACCCTACATCCGCACGTCCTGCACACACAGCACACGCATCTCCTCAACCGCAGCAGAACCCACAGACGAAGCCCAAAGCCGCACGCCGCACTTCACTTTCTCTTGGCCTTTCATCTTTCGGCATTGGTGCAGGTAGCAAACACGGACGGCGTGCCAGTGTTGCCAGCGCATCGCCCACCTCGCCCATTACGCGTATTCAAGCAAACGCATACCCTGGCTCGTATGCAAACGGATCACAGGTTGCACTTTCAAAGACATACTCTCGACCTGGGACTGCACAGGGTGTTGAGAAAGTGCTGAAGACGAAAGCGAGTCGGTCGCGGCTGGCAGGACTCTTCAAGCGTGGTTGATTGGGTCATCCTTTTCCACGGCCACGGTCAACGATTGCATCTTTTCGTTTTCTTTTTACTCTCTCCGAATTTATAAATCAGCACAACCATGTCTATACATACACACAACACACATACAGTATCGGCACTATCAATGTCTCGTCGTTTGTTTGCATGAATGTAGCACTATCCATTGCTATCTCCGTCTCTGCGGTTCTTTGCATTTTTTAACACGATCTGGTCATCTAATTCTTGATTGTCTTATTTTCGTCTTCCTTGTCGTCTATTTCAAGCTGCTATGTCTCGTATGCCGTATGCCGTTAATGCGATGCCTATACACACTTTGAAGCTCGTCCGTTTGTGATTCTTGTCAGAGTCCTCCTAGCCTGATTTGGTAAAGATGGCCATATAAGGAAAGTAAGATTGATAGCTGAACAAACATGTAGTCCGTAAGTTTCATAACTGACTAGAGCCCTACCAACCCAAATATATGCACATAAAGATACCAAGGAAATAATACGAACACAAGAGGGTTTGTGACATTCTACTACATCTTGGTCACTTCTTGTCCGGGGACCCCGGTTGGTGAATACTGCGGTGGTGCGTCCGAGCTCTCTACATCCGTACCGAGTTGATGTTCTCGTAGTCGTCCAAGCTCGTTTAGGATATAATTGACCTGACCATGCAGCATATCCACGTTCACAGGAGCATTCGACTCGCCAGCGGTTGAAGGTGGAACTATCGAAGATGGTGCAGGCGGGTGGGTTTGCTCTGCCTCTGAGGGTATCAGGCAATATGAAGTGTCAGCGGAGAATGTGGTGTTTTGGGGCGATCTACGCGTGCTTTGCTGGGCGGTGTCGGAAAGGGAAAGCATTTGTGTTTGAGAACCAGACGAGGCCTGTCCGACGTGGTTGGACCCGAGCATAAATGGCCTGGGTGAGGGGATTGTATCAGAATTTGAGTCCACAACGAAAGTCGGATCTCTCGGCTTTCGAGCCCGTCGTCTGCGAGGGAAGAAGACCAGAAAGCCCAAGAGACTCGAAGCGGTGACAACTCCAACAACGGCGCCCACGATGGCGCCAGTGTGTGAATTGTTGCTCGACGAGGTAGAGGTTGCAGATGCCGGGTTCGTAGAGCCAGTCGAAGACGCTGCAGCTGAAGTCGTAGTAGTCGAGTTGTCCACGACACTACTCAACATCATTTCTTTCGTTCAACCAAACTTTCCAAATAGGATAGTCGGAAAAGATAACTTACGAATAGATAATATAATCGAACAGAATATTCGTTTGTTGTGTCGGAGACATCGACACTAAGAGGCTGTGGCTCGTGTTCTCAAGGCCCATCTTGATGAACACAGGTACGTTGTACTGAAAGCTCTGGAGTGCCGGGTTTGGCGTATGTGCGAATGTACCAGCAGTCTCTCCATCAAGCTGGAAGCTGACATTGGTTGGGTCGGTATCATTGGATGTGTTCGGTAGGATGAAATACACATAGACGGCTGAGCCTGGATAAATTAGATACATCACGGGTTTATCATACAGTGAGGTGGCCAAGAAAATAGATAAACCCACCAACAAAAGTGGCAGAAAAAGAGCGAGGTTTATCAGGTGTAGACGTCGCATCATGCCATGTCCCTCCAACTGCCTGTGCTGGATCAGGACAGAGAACACAAGCTTTGTTTTCTGCGCCTTGTAGCCAGAAGTCCGTACTACCGCTTGGGAAGTATGTTGGCAGAGCTTTAGTGACAGCGTCCCCCGTCTGGTCGTCGATGGTCACATTGTGAATCTGCTGTGCTGAACCTTTTGATAAATAAGTAGACAAAAGAACGAATATGACTCTCTGGACGCAGGACAGTGTTGCCTTTTCCATGAGCGTTTATTTGGTCAGGTTGTGAATGAAAATGAGGGGGAAAGAGAAAGACGGCGAAGGACGGAAGAGAAGAGCCTGACCACATGGCAACAGAGCGTCAAACAATGCTGGATTGATTTCCATTGAACGAATCGCGGATGGGCGTTAATCAACTCGGCGGTGCGAATTGGATATTTGATTCAATGATCTGTTGTCAGTGACAGTAATGATACTGTAGTACTACTAGTAATTGAGGGAGTGACGAAGTGCTTCTGCCCCATCACGTTACATAATAACCATCTAAGTGCCCGAAAATGTTCTCACGGTTACTCTTATGAGAACTTTTCTACTTTCAAAGACCGAGCTTGTCATATTACTGATGAACTCGCTCCGACATCACTCAATCATTGTTCTATTGCTGACCTTACTGTTTTAATCAGCTGATGGGATGTTGGAGGTTATGGGCGCATGCGAGGGCGTATCACTATAAGACTGTCTCTGCGCTGGACGCATCCCGCCTCAGCGCCAATCTCAGATCACGAAATCGACCAAGCAACCTGAAGAAATTTCACTATGAGCAATAGCCCTGTATCCGGAAAACATGTCGATGAGGCTGATAGATATGCCCTCCCAAGGAACGAGGTGGAACGAGCAAGGTGACTTGGGCAGAGGACAATTTTGTTTGACATCTGATGACGGGCTTAATCTAGGCTCGATAGCCAACACGCCCGCTTGACGGAAATTCTCGGCGGGCGACTCATCCTAGACGATAGTGTCCAACTTAAGCCTGGAGATCGAGTTCTAGACTCTGGAACTGGCGCAGGTAATTCATATTTAGTTGAACAGCACGGCAGATAACAACATGCTCCTCGTGTCCTCAGCTTCTTGGATCATTGATCTTTCAAACCACATTCCAAAGACTGTCGGGCTTATCGGTATCGATATCTCCACGGCGATGTTTCCAAAGGATCTTCCAAGCAATGTAAACCTTATGGAAATGTCCTCCACGAGCCTTCCCGCGGAATGGTCCAATTCATTCACACTCGTTAGCCAACGGCTGTTAATGTCTGCATTCACTGCTTCCCTTTGGAGAACGGCCCTTGCGGAACTGATTCGAGTACTCAAACCTGGGGGAACTATCCAGCTGATGGAATCCGGGAAATACGATTCGTTGCACATATCGCCCAAGAACCTTACAGCACTCAAGAAGGCAACAGACATAGCACTCGCTATTTCAAATCTTCGAGGAGTACTTAGCATAGCATGTGTAGAGGAGCTCCCTACTATGCTTTCCGAAGTTGGGTTTTCGGAGGTGCAGATCCAGAACTTCCGTTCTCCACTCGGCGAACAGTGGGGTGATCTTGGAGCTATGAATTCAAGGAACTTCGAGGTTCTCTTGCGTGGATTCGGGGCTATGCTAATGGCGGAGGGTGGACTTGGAGTTTGTCAATCACAAGCAGAAGTTGATGAAACGATTGAACTTGCAAAGAAAGAGTGGGATGGAACGCCGGGAGTGTTTATCCATTTTGCCGTTTTCACCGCAAGAAAGCCTTTGTAACAAGTACAGAGGTCGGCAGCATCCCTGGGTCGTCTATTCTTCATTACTTTCTCCTGATTAACTGTAGTATAGTGTGATTGATCCTTGTTAGACTTTATGCAATGCAGGAGCCGACCTATTTAAACACCTGCCTCCTTTCTTATCGTGTTAACATCTTTCCGGTGCGGCGTTTGTAGGAAACGGATGCTTCCATGCCTTTCAATGTGCCTGACGCTTCTATATGTCAAAAAGTATCCAAGTGTGAGAGACAAGCAAGAGCGATGTTACTCGTTGAAGAAATTTGACCATTGAGAAAACGGACTAATAGCTAGCAGGTACCGAATAACGCCTCGAACTGGGTAAATAGGTACCAGCATCGTGGTCTTTTGAGCCGCCGAAACGTACAGTTGTCCCCAAATCCAGCCAGATAAGTCCTGGGCTAACGTCCTCCTGGGCGCGAGGTCGAGCATGTAACACTTCTGCTGGATCAGGGATTCCCATCAAATGAGTGCGAGAGAGAGGGTCGGAATTCGGTATTAATACTGAGTGCATGCTTGCGTAGTCCATTCGACTCCTCCGGAAAGCAGAACTTGAGAACCCACGGTAAACCGGGCAGCGCAACAGAGTATTGTCTATCCAGGCTAGCCATGGGAGATTTCATCAATGGAGAAGATACCAAGGAGGATTTCTACGTCTTGCCAAGGAGCGAAGTTGAGCGAGAAAGGTAGCCCAGTCCTATTCAACGCCTTCCCCGACTCCGCTCATGATGGATTTGACTTTCCCCTAGACTCGGAGGCCAGCATGCCCATTTGACAGAAGTAATTTGTGGACGCCTAATAATCGACAAAGTTATTCAATTTAACCCAGGAGATCGAGTCTTAGACTGCGGAGTAGGAGCAGGTCAGTAATAAAAGACCCCCTCCCCTCACCTTATTAAAGAAGACTTAAATGAAATACATTCAGGATCATGGATACTTTCTCTATCGAAAGAAGTCCCCGATTCAGTCGAGCTGGTAGGCATTGACATCTCACCATCGATGTTTCCGAAGGAGGTCCCCGGTAATGTCAAACTCCATGTGGTATCGTCTATGGATATGCCAGCAGAATGGACGAACACATTCACTCTCGTACATCAACGCCTACTCGTCGCTGCATTCACGGCTGAGCAATGGAGCAAGGACTTGGCAGAAATGTTTCGCGTACTCAAACCTGGAGGCACAATACAGCTTATGGAGATATGCAACTACGGATCTCTGCATGTACCGCTGGAAAAATTGCCTGCAACGAAGAAAGTGGATGAGCTAATCATTGCTACATTGAACCACAAAAACCTGCTTGGAAAGGCATGCGGACGCGCCCTACCCAGAATGCTGGAGGAGACTGGTTTCTCCGATGTACAGGTCGAGGATCACCAACTGCCCCTCGGGAAGCAATGGGGTGAAATCGGTATTAGGGGTACGAGGCTCCGTGACGTGCTTCTACACGGGTTTGGCAAAACGTTATTGGCGGAGGGTGGACTTGGTTTATTCAAATCGCAGGCGGAAATTGACGAGGCAATCGGAAAAGCCAAGAAAGAATGGGATGACACGCCAGGTGTATTTGTATATTTCCACTGCATCACGGCTAAGAAACTCTAGCGTATCTAAAATACTGCAAATTGGGAGCAAGTACTCCGGGATACATCATGTTTAATACATTAAACTCAGCTTGACTGTCTGCACTTGTTCGTCCCGACTGCCCAAATTGCTGCAACACCGTGACAGGTGGAAGAGCCAGCAATCATTTTCCCTTCGAGAGTGTGAAACGGCGGATTTGTGTCCTTTTTGAGACACTAGCACTGACTCTGATAAAGAAAAGTGGCACGGTAGATTTTCATGACCAGAAATTGTAGGGCTCCCCAACATAACAAAGGAGGTGAGTTACTCGGAATATATGTTAACAAGATTGCTGATGGCGGAGGGGAGAGCTCGATATCAAGGCCCAAAGACATGTTTGTGTCCTTCTAAAGGGTGCACCTGCACAGAAGAGTTTCGATCCTGTGATGAGGGCAAGAACAATGCAGATAGTCGGGAAAGGTGTGTGATGGCGTGAAGCCGCGTCAGGGTTCTGCTGAATGCTGGGATTGCCGGAGCTAACCGATGCCAGTAATGCTTACACCACATGGTTTAAAAGGAAATAGTGAATAGTCAATACTCTGCTAAGAAACAAACTAGAAGGACAAAGGCAAGGTATAATGTTATACCTTACTAACATTCCTGACTAATATTACAAAAAAGTCTTAAGTATTATACTTACTTATAATCTTATATATTTTATATATTTTATAAAATTTGTCTAATTACTCATAATCTTCCTAAAGGGTTAAGTAAGGAAAGTACAATGTTAAATAAGTAAGAAAAAATACTCTTAAAACTTGGCAATTTCTAATATAATTTTATAAATTGTTAAGTTATATAAGTGATTATAATATACTTCCTAAATTACAAGGTTAAGACATACTTATTAATTTGTGACAGTATAATATCTGCTTATAATGCTTACAAGTCATTACAAGTGTTTAAATAGCTTGCTTTTACTTACTATACAATTTTATATTAAATAATTAATCAAATATAATTATATTTAAATTATAGAATACAAAAATAGTAAATAATTGTAAGCTTAGTAGCTTACTACATGTGAAAGGCTACTAAAGGATAGTACCTCAATTTGGTAACATGTACTTATATAAAGTGTAGAGTATAGATTACTGATTAGTGATTATACTAGCCTTTTAGTATAATAGTTAACATTGTTACACTAGTGTTGACAAGCATTACATAATCATTGATCAAGGTTGGTAGTTCAATTCCTAGGGTGGGTTGAACAGGTCCAGCTTAAGACTCTACTAGAAATGGTAACTCTTAGGGCCTTATATAAGGAAGACTCATACTATAAAGTTTAGAAAGTGTAGAGAGGTGTAAGCTTAGTAGCTTACTACATGTAAAAGGCTACTAAAGGATAGTACCTTAATTTGGTAACATGTACTTATATAGAGTACAGGGTATGAATCACTGATTAGTAATTATACTGGCCTTTTAGTGTAATAGTTGACATTACTACACTAGTGTTGACAAGTATTATAATAATACACTATTTCTACAGTCCTAACCCTTACACTACTAGCTGCCTCTGTCTCATTCTTCTACAAGTAGGATTTGTGTTAGAAAAGGATGAACACATTCTCAGACTGTTTGACATAGTCTTTGTCACTATGTTTTGGTTATTACTTAGTACTTACAAGTTGAATTACAAGTGTGTATAAATTAAGGTTGAGTAGGTTGTAGAGATTAAGGTTGTGTCTGTGAGACAAGCTTAGAGTAATTAGCAAGTAGTAATAAGAGAGAAAAGATGAACACACTACAACAGTGTGTAGTAAGTGTGAGTCACCTGGATTAGAAATCCAGAGTGTTGAATAAGCTAATTTGGACTGTAGGGGAAAGTATGTCTGTACAAGTGTGTTACATATTTTAACTATAATATAATATATAATTAGAAGTGTAGTAAACTCAGTAATAGTTGTAGATGACTTTAGAGGTGTATCTCTAGAACATTCTGGCTTGAAGGGAGAGAATAAAGTAAGTAGTATAGACAGACTTGGCTTAGGAGAGGTGAGTAGTAGCTACTACTTCTGTTATTCAAAATAGTGTTATAGACAGTACTAGGGAATATAAATGTACACAGTGTAGGCTCATTAAGGGTAACATTAAGTATAGGATGGTAGGTAGGGAAGGAGTGTATAGAGGGTTAGAGAGAGGATTGTACCTAAGGAGTAGTCATACATAGACATTGTTGTAAGTGTATACTCACTAATTGTTACTTGTACTACTGAGTAGGAAGAAGTATACAAATGTATGGAATTATTAGAGAAGTTGTTCAGTATTGGTTAACAATACAGATGTATGAATACAAATGAATAAAAGAAGGCAAGCATAATAAAAAGAAGGGTAATGAAGGAAAGGTAATGTAAGAGGCAGAGTAAGGAGTAGGAGGGATGAAAGGGAGACAAGAAGTTAGGATGAGAGGGATGAGCAACTATTGTACAAGTTATTATAAAGTAGACTGGCTACTTACACTTTATACTTAAGGACTGTGTAGTTAGCTCAGCTATGTTGTTACAGGACCTAAGGCTTAGTACAGGTATTGTAGTAGTAGATTAGAGAGACAAATCCAGCAACCTTTATTACCTAGGTGGTTACAGACAGTGTGCCTGCTGGAGAATGCTTGTAGACAGAGGACTAGACTGGAGAGAACAAAAGAGACAACATAGTGTTAGGGGAAGAGGGTTGGGGAGATGATAGAAGTAGGAGGAAAAGGAGTAACAAGAGCAAGTGTATTATTATATGCTCCCAATCTTTAGTATTCAATTATGTAAGCACTTTGATATATAGTTTAATAGAAAACTAAATTATATTATAAGCCTAACAGGGTGATTATTAACAATATTAATATATATAATTGTATATTATTGTACTAAAAGTATTGTAATTAACTTACAAGTACAATGTATTACTTTTATGACTATTATAATTAATCAACTATTGTTACAAATAACTTATAATATAATTTTAACAGATTACAATAAGAGTTGAGTACTTGTACCTCACATGTAATGTTGTAATAATACTATTAGTAAGCTTACTTACTCTAAAACATGTTTGTAGTTTAATAGAAACTTTGTATATTTCTTACATTTATATACAATCATTATAATTACATTATAAGTAAAATATAAGTGTTATTTTAGAATGTAATGCTTATGAAATCATTTTATTAGATTACTTTTGCTATTATTAAATACATTTGTTGCGACTTTTTCGTGATGGACATTGTTCACCTTACAGGCTTGATATCCAACATGGATTCTTCACAGAGGTGGTCGGTCGGCGGCTAATCCTCGACCAAGATGTTAATCTCGGACCAGGAGATAGAGTTTTAGATTCTGGGACAGGCACGGGTATATATCATTCTGACTATCGACATATGAATGGTACTCAGTCAAGTATACAGGTGCGTGGATCATTGCTTTGTCGGAGCAGGTTCCAAAGACTGTCGAATTGATAGGGACTGACATCTCGTCGTCTATGTTCCAAGACCAGGTTCCAGATAACGTCCATCTCCTCGAGACTTCGTCAACGGACCTTCCTCGCGAATGGACCGACACTTTCAGCTTAATCAACCAACGCTTGCTCCTTGCAGCACTTACCATTCCACTAAGCACTTTGGCGATCCGTGCTTTCTGAGTTGTTCCGAGTTCTTAAGCCTGGTGGAGTTATCCAGCTCATGGAAGCCAGGGAATTTGGTCTAACCAATGAAGAAAGTCCAATTGCCACCAGCAGAATAGCGATGGACATTGCCATTGCTGCTGTAAGTAAACGAGATCTACTCGGCTTTCGTAGTGGTCTGGTGCTGCCGGGGATGCTAAAAGAGGCTGGATTCTCTGATATACGATGCAAAGTTTATAAGGCACCACTTGGTAAGAGTTGGGTGAGATCAGGGTGGCAGGTGTGAAGTGCATTGAAGGCGCTTTACGCGCATTTGGGAAGGTTTTGATCGCTGAAGGAGGTCTCGGGCTGTATGACACACAATCGGAAGTTGACCGAGTGATCGATCGAACAACGGAGGAATGGAACGAAACCTCTGGAGTGTTCATTGATTTCTACACAATTACGGCCAGAAAGTACTCGTAGAGATACAAAGGGAATTACGTATCTTGTGTATGCCGTCAAGCGCATGTAATGAATCTCACGAGTTTGGAGGAAGTTGCTGTGAAGCCACTCGTTCCGTGATATTAAGTTCCCGCTTCCAATACGTTCTCTATGCTTTCAATTTGGAACGCCCTGTAAGTGGAATTCAATATTCTACTTGAAATGAAAAATTTCGAGAGGCAAATGATAGTGCTGAAACAATCCAGATAATGACGATAGGCCATCATATACCTCTGGCACTTTAATCTGGACGCCAGGTAGTCGATGAGCTTCTTGTATTGCTGAACAGAATTTGGAATGCCAGTAGTTAATAAAACTTAATAACAGTCTTGTTCCTACTACGTACAGGTAAGGTAAGAAGATAACGAGCTACCTTGCTTCATTTTCTTGACCAGTAAGCAACTCAGAAATATTCTCCTGAATCTGACAGCATATAGAGCATCTGACATGTTATACACTCTATTAAAGAGCAAAACTGTTAAAGTTTCATCGGGTGTCACCATTATATGCATACACATCATTGTAATAGGGCAGGCAGGATTGACAAAGGGTTAATTTTTTCCCCTTTGTGCTGCGCTGCGAATAGTGTACAAACATTGATGCTTCTGGGTCAGACTCGTCAGAGCAAAGAAACGTCAAGCATCTGATGGGAAAATACTGAGATAAACTTGGGGATGATTGAACGAATGCACGAGGCGAAACACGGTTGAAAGTAAATCAGAGCCTTTTCTGCTCACTTCCACTCTGATCGGATAGAGCATCCCTATCATGGATTGCTAATATTTCGAGAAATGCAAACAAAAATGAAAGGGTGGATCAATTTGGGACGGACACTATTGGACGTATATCTCAATCCTGAACACTGTGGCGTGCTGGTCCAACAGTGTCGCTGTGATCACTGCCAGCACAACTGTGTGTCATTATTCACGGTCCACAGTCCCGAACTTCAGTACTGAGCTATTATAGTGCATATTTCAACGGATAATCATGACTGTCTGCTGCCAGCATGAGCTCTAATATTGTTGCCCTACTGTACTAGTTTGTTCGTTACATCAGCTAATCGAAATGATAGTATAGTTCACTGTCCTTAATGATTAGTAGTTACAACTAAATATGTGTCGTTATAATCGTGTATCTTTTTTTACTAGTTGTAAAGTGGACTGTAAAGTGTATTTTATGATAATAACGGCTGATTTGAGCCACTACTGTCTTTTAAGTATTAGTTTGTGGTCAATAAGAGCTCATGCAACTTTTGAAAAGAACCTTTTCTAATCAAATTGCCTAGAATGTTAAATCATATACTATTTTTACAATAGAGGCATTTGTATATATATATATATTGCTTTCCACATTGCTTTTTAAATGGAGGAATTAAGGAAAACATATCTGCTACTATGCTAGAAATAGTCAGAGTCTTTTGTAGTATTAAATATCAGCTTTCCAAAAATCAACATGAAGTAATGTTATACATTTATGCATATGTTTGCTATTTCTATTATGGCAATTTGTGAAATGCAGAATTTGTGTCCTGAACAGAGTTTGAAGTGTATGTGCCAAACAATGTGCAGTCCTACAGCTGTATTATGCTGTCCTCTTCTCAAATCACTCAGCAGCAGCATTATTCATCAGCTACAACGATCCCTCTCTAATAATCACAATTCTACTCAAGTATAAGTATTTTAAATACTGTTTAGAGAGTACACGAAATTTAACTAAAATAACTTTTTATATATGTAGTTTAGCTAAATTTTAATTACTATTGACAGGTACCTTCTTGATGTATCTCTCAGAACAGTATGTGCTGGTGATCTTAGTAGTGCCCAAATGAATGAACGTTATTCACAAGTGGCAGCTGTCCAACTTTGTTAGACGCTGGGAAGCACTGTAATACAAGACAGAAATGACCAGTCTTGTACCGTTTTCATATCATACTTCAACCATTCCTTGTTCGAAAGGCATCTAGAACCTCTCGACTCATACCATTCAAAATTTCAAGTACTTCTACAGGTTCGGATCGTGAGCTGGCAGCGTGCTTAAGCGTTTGCCTCATTGGAAATAGTTGGAGGCGCTCGGTTATGTCTTTATGAATCGGGAAAGGCGCGCAAATGTGGGATGTTCTTCGTTTGTTATAAATTTAAACTTGAGGTATAAAATTGAGGTCGGGTTAACATCCTCATCCCAAGTTTCTGCAGTTACTCAACCAACATGAAGTTCCTCAGTCTCTTGTCACTCGCGATCCTTTCTTCTTCTTCTGCCATAGCACAGCTCACCCCTCCCATATTTTACCCACCTGACGGAACCTATTACATTTACAATGTCCAGTACAAACGAGTCTTTGATGACTTTGGGTTTGCCG